CTGTGGGGGTCCGTGAGGAAGAAGAGGGTGTCGGTGTGGGGGTCCGTGGGGAAGATGGGGTGCCAGTGCAGAGGTTTGTGGCGAAGGAATGGGTGTCCCTGTGGGGGTCCACGGGGATGAAGTGGGTGTCAGTGCGGGGGTCCGTGGCGAAGAAGGGGTCTCAGTGTCTCAATGTGGAGGTTTGTGGTGAAGGAATGGGTGTCCCTGTGGGGGTCCGTGAGGGAGAAGAGGGTGTCGGTGTGGGGGTCCGTGGGGAAGATGGGGTGCCAGTGCAGAGGTCTGTGGCGAAGGAATGGGTGTCCCTGTGGGGGTCCGTGAGGGAGAAGAGGGTGTCGGTGTGGGGGTCCGTGGCGAAGATGGGGTGCCAGTGCAGAGGTTTGTGGCGAAGGAATGGGTGTCCCTGTGGGGGTCCACGGGGGATGAAGTGGGTGTCAGTGTGGGGGTCCGTGGGGAAGATGGGGTGCCAGTGCAGAGGTTTGTGGCGAAGGAATGGGTGTCCCTGTGGGGGTCCACGGGGAAGAAGTGGGTGTCAGTGTGGGGGCCCATGGCGAAGAAGGGGTCTCAGTGTCTCAATGTGGAGGTTTGTGGCGAAGGAATGGGTGTCCCTGTGGGGGTCCGTGAGGGAGAAGAGGGTGTCGGTGTGGGGGTCCGTGGGGAAGATGGGGTGCCAGTGCAGAGGTTTGTGGCGAAGGAATGGGTGTCCCTGTGGGGGTCCACGGGGAAGAAATGGGTGTCAGTGTGGGGGTCCGTGGCGAAGAAGGGGTCTCAGTGTCTCAATGTGGAGGTTTGTGGCGAAGGAATGGGTGTCCCTGTGGGGGTCCGTGAGGGAGAAGAGGGTGTCGGTGTGGGGGCCCGTGGCAAAGATGGGGTGCCAGTGCAGAGGTTTGTGGTGAAGGAATGGGTGTCCCTGTGGGGGTCCGTGAGGGAGAAGAGGGTGTCGGTGTGGGGGCCCGTGGCGAAGATGGGGTGCCAGTGCAGAGGTCTGTGGCGAAGGAATGGGTGTCCCTGTGGGGGTCCGTGAGGGAGAAGAGGGTGTCGGTGTGGGGGTCCGTGGCGAAGATGGGGTGCCAGTGCAGAGGTCTGTGGCGAAGGAATGGGTGTCCCTGTGGGGGTCCACGGGGATGAAGTGGGTGTCAGTGTGGGGGTCCGTGGCGAAGAAGGGGTCTCAGTGTCTCAATGTGGAGGTTTGTGGTGAAGGAATGGGTGTCCCTGTGGGGGTCCGTGAGGAAGAAGAGGGTGTCGGTGTGGGGGTCCATGGGGAAGATGTGGTGCCAGTGCAGAGGTTTGTGGCGAAGGAATGGGTGTCCCTGTGGGGGTCCACGGGGATGAAGTGGGTGTCAGTGTGGGGGCCCGTGGCGAAGAAGGGGTGCCCTCCGGGACGCCGCTGCAGGCCAGGGGAGGGGGGGGCAGCCCCCGCCGCCCCCCCTCGCCGCAGCTTTGCATAGCAGCCGGATTCATCCCAGCCCCCCCCCCTTCCCCGCTCCTTCCATATAAGCCGGCGGGGCCGGCGGGCGGCAGAGCGGCCCGGCCATGCTGCGCAGCCCACCGCGGCCGCGGCCCGGCCCTCCGCCCCCCCCCAAACCCCCTTTCCACATCGAAACCCTCCTCGCCCGGGAACCGCCGCGCCGCGACCCCCCCGCCCCGCCGGCCCCGCGCTGGGCCCCGCCGGGCCCGGGCCCCGCAGCGGCGCTGGGGCCGGGGCTGGGCGGCTGGGGCTGGGGCTGGGGCGGTGCAGGTGAGCTTTGGGGGGGGGGGGGGGGGGGGGGGGGGTGGGTGCTGGGGGGGAGGGGAGCGTTCCCACTCGTCACGGGTGGGTGGTGGGGTGCGCGGGCGCGTGGCCGGCGGGCTGCTGGGGGCAGGCGGCGGGGTGCGGGGAAGCTGGGCTGGCATCCCCCGCACTGCGGAATGAGGGCGTTTGGGCCACCAAAAAGAACTTTTTTGTTTTGTTCTTTTGTTTGTTGGTTTGGTTTTTATTTTTTTTTCTCCCTCCCTGCCGCCGTGTTTTCATTTCCTGCAGCCTCCCGACCAGCCCCAAGGTGAAAGTGTTGGGCTGGGGCTGTGGGAAATGAAGGAGGGAGAGGGAAGAGTTCCCTAAAATTTCCCTCTTCTCTAGTGTTCGATAATGAATATTAACTATTCACCCCCAACACTAACCGACGGGGTGAAGCGAGACCCAAATAACACGATTTACATCCTTCAGGCTCAGCTTCAGCAGAAGGTTTCAGGTCAGGGACAGTCCCCCCCCCCTCCATGTCCATGTGTGCCCCCACCTGCATTTTAAGGATGGTGGCTCTGCACGCACTGGCATTGATTTCTCTTTTCATTGCACGGAAATGCCGGTGTTTTCATCATGCCGCTGAAAATCTGCGGTAATTTCCCAAAGCATCAGCCCTGCAAGTGGTTTCCCCACCACGCCAGCACCCCTCTGCTCTTGCGCGGGGTCCCCTCTTCTCCCACAGCTGCCTTCGCCCGTCGGGAATTTTGCTCTCCCTGGGACCGCTTGCAAAAATGGAAATGCTGAGTATTTCACAGCACCCGGCCCCAAAAGCTGCTGGTATTCTTGAGTGCAAAAGCATCCAAGGAAACAGGTTTTTGTTGTTGATCCGTAGGTGAAGTTTTACACAGTGGTGTTGGATGACATTGGCTAATCCATCAGGCTCGCTGTATTTTCATCGAGGAGCACTGTAACTTTCTAGAAGCAAAATTACTCATCTGTTTTAACGAAGTGCCTCTGCTCTGCTTACTTTTCTTGAAATTCAGGGGTCTCTTTAGCGTTCAGAGCCTGATCCTGTTATTGGCCAAGCAAAACCTCCAGCCGAGCACATATTTTTACTTGATTTGATCCTGATAGCTACAGTATTCAGATACCAAAAGTATTTGCCACTCTTGATCTTTTTAACTACTTAGCGTAACTATTTAATCTATTACTTCTTTTGCGAGGCAGAATCTGCGTAGTTGTGTGTTAATCGATGTATTATATCAAATATACAGGTATGAAAATATAGTTAAACAATTTGCAAAGCTATTTCCACAAAGTGTTTAATGTTTGAAATTACACTTGCTACGATCCCAGTATTAAAATAGAAAGAAAAAAAAAAAAAAAGTGACGGGTGAAATTATTTTAATGATGAAAATAGTTTTAAGTGCAATTACAGCTGTTAAGCTGTCAGGTCTTCATCCCACAGAGCCTTAAACACGCGCAGAACTTACGCCCAATTAATGAAACGAAGTAGGTCAAGGTGCCCATTTGTGCCTGGAGAACATGACAACACCAGTCATTAAAGGAGAGATAAGTAGTGGGTGTGAATTGGCATCATCATGTACAATATTTTCATAGAAGTTAAAGAAACTCGCCTTGCCACGGTGTAGATAGATCGCAGCAGCCCAGGGTCCCTCGTGGCTGCTGGTGCTGTACCCTGGGGACGGGGTGCAGTGGCTCCGGCCATGGGGGACCTCTGCTCAAAGCAGAGCTGATCTCCAAGCCGCATCACGTCGCCCGGGGACTGAGATTTCAGAGCCCCCAACTCGGGGAGCATCGGTGGCCTGATCCTGCAGACGCACACTGCGTACTTTGCTTTCCACCCAGGAAAGTCCCGCTGGCTGTACTAGGGGTTCTCTTTCTTAAAAGTTAAGTGTGGGCCTGGGCGTTGGCAGGACAGAAGCTGTGGTACCATCAGCATTTAGTGCTGGTTCCTAATACCTTCACCACTGCACTTTGATGCGTGGAGGTGCTGCTGTGGCAACCCCGTGGTCTCGCTCGGAGGTGCCTGGAGTCTTGGGTTCAGAACAGGAGCCAAGTCCCCAATCCAGCAGTTTTTGGCATCGAGCAAGATTGGCTCGACTGTCCCTCCAATGCTTCACGCTCAGACGTGCAAATTTTACGCTAAATGTTTTTCTATGCATGTCATAACTCCAGAACCAGCATCACAGATGCAAAGTGTTGTTTTGTGGTGTTGTTTTTTTTTTTTTTTTTTCGCTTTGACAGCTACAGCCCCTTTTCCTCAGCCCTCGACTGTGGTCTTTCCACCCTGCAGTCCTCCTGGCAGTGAGATCTGGCTCGAGTGACAGGAGGACAGGGCTGGCTGGGATGAGCCCTGGGGCTCCTGAGGGATGGTCTGGGTTGATCTTCAAAAGCAACCTGGAGATGTGTACGAATCAGTCTGTGTTGGTGGGACGAGGGCTTTGCAAACCAGAGACAGCCCCGCTCTTAGGCTGGTGCCAGCTGGTCCTGTGACAGTGCTGGCGTCGTATTGTATGCTAATTAGGTAATTATGGTTATCATCAGGCCACAACTAGATAGGAGACTGAGACCAGATCCACTTGTTAGTCCTGCTGATGCCTCGGCACACATTACGGATCAGTTGAACCTACTGAGGCCAAAGGACTAAGGTCCAGGATGAGGAGCTGCACGAGGGCTGGTGACTCGTGTCTTCGGCAAGCCAGTCCTGCCAGATTCAGTATCTTCTCCTGGACACTGGCTGGCTGCGGGAGCGAAGGGAAGGGTAAAACCAGGGGCCAGCAAGGGGTGAACTCCCCCAGCCTTTAAACATTTGGGACTTGTTGAAATGGAGGTGGGATTTGTGCATTTAGCAGCTCTCGATGGACTTTATTATTCTGTTACAAAGATCCTGTACGAATGGAGGTCAAACTCTGCTGACCTCACTGAGTGCTGACTTTTTGGGGTCTGGCTGCACGTTTAGGACTGTCCTGGGTTGTACCTATGGGTAGAATCACAGAATGGGTTGGAAGGGACCTTGAAATACCATCTGGTACAAGTTTCTGTGGGAAAGGCAGCCTAGATGAGATGATCTAGGTCGGGACATTGCTTGCTTTTCTTTTTGGTGCTGCTTTCTCCCTGCACAGAGCAGCGGCATTTGGATTTCAGCTGCAGCTGAAGCAAGCTGGGTTTGGCACATCAAGAGGGCTGGAGGAATGGCCTCAAACACGCAGACCCCTTCAGCCGCTGCTTCTTGCTTGCAGGTTTGGAGTTGTCTCACTGCGTAGGGGCCAATTCGCTGAGCCCCGCTGTGCCTTGGAGGTCTGGGGGGCCTTGCAAGATGAAAAGGGTCCGCACGGTCTTCAAACCAGAGCAGCTGGAGAGGCTGGAGCAAGAGTTCCTCAAGCAGCAGTACATGGTGGGCACGGAGCGAGTAGACCTGGCTGCAACTCTGCATCTCACAGAGACTCAGGTAAGAAACGGGGGAGGTGGGGCTGGCGGCTTAGATGCGGGTCTGGGTTTGGTCTGTGGTGATTTCCCTGCCATGAAGTGCAGTGGGAGGAGGACATGATGCAAAATGACCCGTGGGACTCCCTGCTGCGAGACGACATTGAAGCCACGTCCTGGAAGGACGCGAGATAGGTTTAGATGGTTTATGAATAAGAATGTCCTTTTCTTAATCCATCAAGTGGAACAAAAAGCATTTAGGAGCACAAACCTGTTTGATTTAGAGTTCAAGATGGCTTGGACTAATGTATCTACACTGTTGTGATCCTCTGGAGACAGTTTATGCTTTAAGCGTCCTTTTATGACACTGGGCGTAAATTTTTTTTCTGCTCTTCCCAGGTAAGTGCCTGCCTCTCCCGCTGCAAGCTGCTCGTTTATTGTGGAAAGAAGGAGCCGCGTGATCTTCCGTGGTGGGATCCAAATGCAGCCGGGGAAAAGGAGAGCAAAGCAAGGGTGGTTCTGGGGGTGGGCAGGGAGGGTGTGAACAGCACAGGGAGCAGGAGCAGGGGGATAGGTGGGTGCCCTCTGGCAGCGGTAGCCCTGGGGATGGGTTCAGTGACCCCGGGGAGCTTGGGGAGGTGTTTCCTTCACTCCCGTGGCCAGAGCCTGCTCTGTGCAGCTGCGTCCCCCTCTCCCCTGGTCCTTTCTCCCAGCACCACTCTGCCCTCCTTAGCGTCACCTCCTCCAGCTCGCATGCACCATGCCCTGAGCAAAGAAGGGGCATGTCTTCCCTCTTCAAAGAACTCTTGCTTTTTGGGGACATCTGCCTCAGAAGCATGTGGCAACAGCCCCCAGTGGCAAGGGGCTCCTGGAGACACCTTGGATTAAGCTGTTGTGCCATTTTCCTGCTAGGTGAAAGTCTGGTTCCAGAACCGGAGGATCAAATGGAGGAAGCAGAGCATGGAGCAGAAGGCGGCAAAGCTGTCACAGTTTGGGGTGATACAGCCCACCACCGCGGACTCGACGGACATCAAGGACCACGAGGATGACACCGTGGACGTTGAGCTTTGAACAGCTGATGAGATTTAGCTGCCACTGTTGTTTTCTCAGCCGTGTCTGCTTGATGGAGGTACTGAGGGTGCAGGCACGTCTGAGCTCCTTTGGTCCAAGTGAGACATGATGCGCTTGATCTGAGAGCTGGAGCTACAGGACTAAAGTGCAGCTGGCTGGGAAGAACCCCCCGAATATCGTTTGGCTGCTGTTTGGTAGCCATGTGCTGTAATTCCTGGGGCTTCATCACCCGGCCAGTTGTACTTGATGGTGCCATAGCTGCGGCAAGGCATGTGAGCTCCTGTTTGCTCTTGAAGTACCAGGACACACAAAACAGTTTCCAGCGGAGAGGCTGGGGTGACAATCGGGCAGTGTCTCTGACGGCTGTGAGCACAAGGGCATTTGAACACGGGGGTCACTTGCATTGCGCGTTTCTGTGTGCTCCTAGGAAGGAGACATGTACTGGTCAACTTGACTCCCATGTTTGATGCTTAGATAACAACAACAACAACAAAAACCAAAAGGAAATTGGAAAGCCCTTTGCTCCCACCCGCAGACTGTCATTACTCTTGCAATAAGTTGAACAGGGTCTGATCCTGCCCCTGGAACAAAAGTGCCTCCTCTTTGTTCTGTGCCTTAGTGTATTTGTGCCTTAGTTGTGGCTTCCCAAACCCAGAGGGCAGAACCCAGTGGGTCTCTCTGTCTTTTGGCATTGCCTTAATTTTGCCAAGGTGTGCGTATCCTGCTGCAGCAGGGAATAAGGCACTCAGCTTGGCCGTGGGGATGGGGGCTGTTATAACAAAAGCAGCTTTCCAACACCTCTGGTGCATCAGACGACCCCCTGCCCCTCGTCCAGATGTGCCGATTCTGGCCCAGACAGCAGCTGCTCTGTTCTCTCCTCATTATACATCCAAGTGCCACGGGAAACGGCACCTGGAGTGTTGGGCGAGCACATCTGTAACCACCCGATGCAGCGAGCGGTTGTGTTTCTGGTGGGTGGGAGGGCTGCGAGGGGTCAGGGCCAAGCACTCGACCCTCCCTGCCTGTGTGTTAGCAGCTACGTGCTCTTAGGCCAGGCTGTCAGCGCTCAGGCTGTCACCTCGCCTTCCCAGGTCTGCCCAGGGTACCAGGCACCACGTCCCGTCAGCTCAGGATAATTTATTGTGTCTCCTCCTGACCCAGAACACTGTATATCACTTTACTCTTATTTATAGAAATAATTTTTTTTTTCCTTAATAAGTTTCACTTATTTATTTGTTTTGCTTCTTAATAAAAATCTAGTGTATTTTAAAAAGAGAGATGGGACCGGCTGGAGGGAGGCAGGATTGAGCAGGGGGGAGGCAGGGTTGAGCAGATCCTTGGTTTCTGAGTAAGCAGCGATGCCTCAGTGGCTTCTTAGCCCACAGCTGCCAGGGATGGGTTACCCATCCTTTTTGCTGTCTTCAGTTTTCTCTTGTGTTTCTAAGGAAATTAAAACCAAAAGGAATGCACTTTCTCCTAATAAGACCTCTGTTGTCAAAAAGTAAAAGCTGCTTTCTAACAGCAGAATTCATGAAAGGGTGATTTCTTCTTGCACGGGTGATTTCTTCTTGCACATTTTCATTCCTGATATTCTAGTACAAATAGGAAAGCGTTTTTTTCCCCTCCACACTTGTGTGTTTTGCTGGTAAACTTGTGCACTCATCTCAAGCTTGAACATTTGGAATGGAGCAAGAACAGCTTTTAAACAGATCAACTGAAAACCTGTAAGTGTCAAAAAAACAGAAGGAAAACACGCTTCAAACCATTATTTTAATTTTAAACTGAAATTCTTAACAACAAAAAAAAAATTCTTAAACTTTTGAACAAAATAAATGCTAAAAAAAGTTGTTTTTTTAAAAAGGTGATTGATGACCATATGGCATAGGTGAAAGTAGATAACACAAGTTATTTCTGGGCCAGTTCCTGCAGAGATAGAACTAAATTTAGGGTAAGAAATGTAATGTGTGGTTACAGTGGGGTGCTCAGGTTTGGGTCGCTGCTCCTGGAGAACAAGGACCTCTTGTCTGCAGGTGGATGTGGCCAAACTTTCTGTGCAGCCCCTGCTCTGCCAGGCTGCCGCTTCAGCAAACCGAAGTCCAGGAGAAGGTTCCCCCTGTGCTCTGCAAACGCAGAAGCAATCCCGGCCCAGCTTCACAAATATTTCACATTAATGTGGGCACCAGGGATTGCTCAGAGACACGAAGGACGCTTTGAAGTGTCAGGCTGATGCTTGTTGGATGAAGTGCCCTGCCACTTAGCACCAAAACCTTAGAAAAACAGGACATGTAGTGCTGTTATTACAATAATAACTAGTCTTCCTACTAATAGGAGGAAAATGTAATTGGAGTCATACCGGAGCGTTGCTCCACCCGTGTCTTAAGGCCTAGTAGACCCTGGGATGGGCATTGCGCAGTGAAGTGCCCTGCACAGCCCCGCTGCTGGGTTCACCGCGGCCAGACCCCAAAATTAGAGAAAGGGGAAGGTGTCCCAGGCAGTTTGTCTGTCCCTTGTAGCCGGCTGAGCGGCCAGGGAAGCGCCCAGCTCTGCGGCCATGCTCCTTCAGGGGCCGCTGGCCTGGGCATGGAGGTGGCGGGATCCAGCTGGCCGCGCAGCACAGCCTTACCGCCCGGTGTCGCGATCCCAACACGAGCCGACAGTGACATCTAGTGACTCCGAAATACCCCAAACCGCCCCGAATATGAAGCCGTTCCCCATATTCCCAAACACGCTGCAGCCACCTGGTCGATGAAGAAACAGGACTGAGTCTGCACGGGCACTAGCAGTGCCGGTGTAAACCAGTGAACACAATTAAACATGCCATTTGCATGGGTTTTAGGCGTTTGCAGGCAACCTAGCAGGAGGTAGCGAGGGTGCAGCTTAGCGTGTTCTGAAAGGTTTTTTGGGGAACGCTGGGCCAGTTTTGAGCGCGCAGGAGCAGCTGGTGATGCCTCCTCACCCTGTGAGGGGGTACCTTGCGTTCCCGCCTGACAGGGACATGAAGGCTATTCCCCGCCTGGCCGTACTGTTAAAAATGAATAATAGTTAATAGAGGAGAAGCAACAGAACTGTCTGGTGGTTCTTTTTTTTTTTTTTTTTTTTTTTTTTTTTTTTTTTTTTTTGCGTGGCTGTGGAAGCGTCCCAGCCCCGTTTCGGGGCATTTTGGTGGTGTTTTCGGACGCCGCTGGTGGGCTGAGGGGAGGGCCAAGATGGCCGCCGGCCCCCGCCCGCCCAGGGGTTGAGGGGGGTGATGGCGGGCGCGGACCCCCGAAGGGGGGGGCCGGCAGCCATCTTCGTGCGGGGCGGTGGGTGAGGAGGGCGGAGGAGGAGGAGGAGGAGGAGGAGGAGGAGGAGGAAGAGGAAGAAGAGGCGCTGCCCGCCCCCGGCGGGTCAGAGCGGGGAAGTCGCCGCCCGAAGATGGCCGCCGCGGCGGGGGATGTGTGCGGCGCCGTAGCGGGGGGCCGCGCCGGGGCTGCGGCGGAGGCGCGGTTCATCAGCAGCGCCAAGGTGAGCCCGGCAGTCCCTCCTTTCCCTCATGCTGCGGCAGAGCCAATTTTTTTTTTTTTTTTTTTTTTTATGCGGGGGGAAAAAAAAGGGGTGAAAAAACCCGGCAGCCTCCCCTCAGGCTGTGTGTGTGTGTGTGGGGGGGATACCCTCAGCCCACGGGTGGGTTTCGGCTTCGGGCGCGTCCCCTGACCCACGCCTCTCCCTCGGTAGGGCAAAGGCTTGTTCGCCACCAAGAACATCCGCAAAGGGGAAACCGTCTTCGTGGAGAGGCCGGTGGTGTCATCCCAGTTCCTCTGGAACGCCCTGTACAACTACCGAGGTGAGTGGTTGGCGCGTCCCTGTCGCCTGCCCCGGCGAGGTGACTCCAGGCTCCCTAAGGAGCTGCCTGGGTTTCAAGGAAAACGTTTGGGTTTGTTTTAGCACCGCCGGGAAGGTGGCCCCTGCTGCCATTTCGGCGCTACGTGAACTGTTGACAAGTGGAAAGCGGTGGGGTCGTTGGAGGGATGGGGACTTCCATCAGCCCTGGGAGGAAAGCACCGTGTGCCGCCGTCGGGCACCATCTGTGTGGGAACACCGATTTTTTTCTTTTTTTTTTTTAGTGGCGTGGCCGCTAATCCCAATCACACCACTGCAGAGTACAGCCCACAAAGGTGCCAGTCCTCTCCAGAGGCGACAGAACAAAAAAAAATGAAGGTTTTAAGGGCAGGATTTTAAACTTCTTTGTCCTACCTAGACCCTGCTGTCTGCTGAGCTCTGTTGCATGGGAATGCTTGCCATGATATGGCCCTTAAAACACTTCCCAGCGTTACAGGGCAGCAGATGAGTGCTGAGGAGGGGGTTAAATTGCAGCAGAAAATGGTCTTTCCTATAGAGGGAGTGATAAGAGACTGGTGCCTCCAGCTCGGAGATAGCGTTGGTACCAGTCATGCTGTCTTGCCCTGAGCCCTGGCCCCTTTTCTCACTGTGGTGTCCGTCTTGTCTCCCCTCAGCCTGTGATCACTGCCTGCGGGCTTTGGAAACGGCGGAGGAAAATGCCCAGCGGCTGCTAGGAAAGAGCTCCCTGGTGCTGCCTCACCCGGAGCAGTGCAGCATCCGGAAAGACCTGCACCAGCAGTGTCCCCGATGCCAGGTATGGGGCTGCTAGGGGGTGACCGTGGTCTTGCTGGGGTCACTGACTCCTTCACAGCATCTAGCAAGGCACTTGCGCTGCCCCGAGATGGGTGTCTGCCTTCCCCTTCTGCATCATGATGGCTAAAGAGCTCAGGTGGTCAGGGAGGGGGGCACGGCTGGGCCTGGGACCCCCTTTTCCTGCTGCTGTAGCCAACGCCGGGCGCTGTGCCCCTCGCTCTAGGTGACGTACTGCAGCGCTGAATGCAGGCAGGCTGCTTTGGAGCAGTACCACCAGGTCCTCTGCCTTGGCCCATCCCGTGACGACCCCACGCACCCCCTCAACAAGCTGCAGGAGGCATGGAGGTAGGCGACCGACCTGCCTGTTGCTCCCCGGGCAGAGGAGGTGGCTCTCCTGGGCAGGGCGATGCTGCCTGGGACCAGGGCTGAGGACCATCCTTGCTTTGCATCCCTGCATGGGGTGGCTGGAGGGTGGTGGTGGCCGTGGGACCCTGCCCAGCTGTACCTGCTGGTTGGACAGCAGGTGGATTTGTGTTGGCAGCACAAGTGTTTGGACACATGGCTGAACAGTTCTTATTTTTCTCCCAATAAAGAGCTACAAAGCACTGAGCTGCGCATCCCTCACTCCTGCAATTTTATAGTGCTCCTGCCCCTGGGAGATTTTCATCGTAGCACCCCTGCGGGTACATGAATTGCTGTCCCTGCTTGCAGATGACAAAATGGGCACAGAAGCGACAAGTAACATCCCTGACTCAAAGCTCATCACAAACCCCAGCTCTGGCGGCCATCCTGGGCTTTGTATGGGATCCAGGCTCTAGTTTAACAGGATGGTAGGGGATTATTTGTGTGCTCAGAGGAGGCAGTTGGTTGCAGGCTTCTCCTCGCCCTGAGCAGCACTGGATCCCCATGCAGTGATGCTGCACTGGCTGCTTCGGTGTGACAGATGATCATGGGCCTGACCTCATGGATGGCAGCTGCCTTTGCCTCCTTCCAGCTTCTTATTTTCATACCAACACCGATCTGCTCATCTCTTTTCTTCGTTCTTATCCCCCAGAAACATGCATTATCCACCGGAGACTTCCAGCATCATGTTGATGGCCCGGATGGTCGCCACTGTCAAACAGGTATGTTTGCAGTTTGAAGCCACAGCTAGCTGGTGTGTGGTTTCCTCATCCTGTTGTGGCTGTTATTCCCAAGGACTGATTTCTTCGGCAACTGGCAGGGTCCTGCTTCAATAGATTTCATCGTCTAGTGGTCACTGGTCATGGAGACAGGAGGCAGCAAAAGAGGGTCCTGTGCCCTGAGCCAAGCAGGTCTTTTTTTCTGAACCAAAATAGTCAGAACCGAACCTTTCCTTTCACTCTGTTTCTTTGGACTGGGTTTCTCAGTGTTTATTCTGACAATAAATTGCCACTATGCAAGTGCTTCAGGTGGTTCTTGATAGCAGGCTGGATACCTCTGAGCTCAGTGGGGCTTGTCCACTCCTCCTTTCTCTCTTTGCTGGGGAAGAAAGTGGTGGTGGTGCTATGCCCGTGTTCGATTCCTTTGTCAGGCTAAAGACAAGGAGTGGTGGATCAAAGCCTTCTCCCAGTTCTGCAGTAAGACAGCAAACGAAGAGGAGGAGGTTGTGCACAAGCTGCTGGGGGACAAATTTAAGGTAAGAACCTGGCAGCTTTTGGTTGTGTTGAATCCCCAAGCTTGCCTTCTGCTTGCCTGTGTCTGTAAGCCCATGGGTGCAGAGGCCCTCTTACAGCTGGGATGGGAGACACTGGAAATCCCAGGCTCAAAGTGGGAGCACAAAGCGTCTGGCTGACCTGACAGAGAGGAAATGGGTTGCTTTGGGCTTATGGTGCTTCAGTGGGACACGCTGCTCATTCCTGTGGTGGAGATGCTTCTGCTGTGGGGTGGGACAGGGTGATACTTAGCTGCTGAGTAGGTGGCTTTTGCTGGTAAAATGAGTGGCTTTCGCTGCTCTGAGGGCAGCAGCCTCCAGCCCTGCAGGGAGGGACGAGGAGCCTGACTCCTGAGCCTTTTGGCCTGTGCTGGGCTCGCCCGTCAGCCTGGGGCTGAGCCCAGCAGCATCTCCCCATCCTGACGGCATTGCCATGTCCTGGCAGGGCCAGCTGGAGCTGCTGCGATTGCTCTTCACCGAAGCCCTTTACGATGAACATCTCAGCAGGGTGAGTTGAATTGCTTCCCAAATAGCCCAGGAGCATGGCAGGACCTTCCGCTTGGCCAGGGCTTTCCCTGGGACTCTGCCCATTCCTTACTCCCCCCAAAACTCCCTGTGGGATTTGAGGCACTTGCAGAGCGGGGTGCTGCCGCCGGCTGGCCTTGGCTCAGCTGCTTTCTCATCTCCCTTCTGCAGTGGTTCACTCCAGAAGGCTTTCGATCCCTCTTTGCCCTCGTTGGGACCAATGGTCAAGGCATAGGAACAAGGTAATGGGGCTTTCTGGGTGCTCTGTGCAGGGCAGCAGAGATGTGGCATGGAAAGGATGTACAGTGCCTAAATCCATGCTGGCCTGGGTAATGGCTGGGTTCAGACGTAAGAGAGGGAAACGGAGAGGCAAACTTAAAAGCAGTTCTTCATCTTGGCCGTGTCCAACCCTTTCGCGTCCCTCTGCCAGACCTTGGCCACTGAGTTGAACCCTTAGATCCCCCCTGCCAGGTCCCACCGTGTGCCCACAGCACTGCGGGTCTGTAACGGTGTCCCTCTGCTTCCCGACAGCTCCCTGAGCCAGTGGGTGCACGCTTGCGATGCGCTGGATCTCCCCATGCTGCAGAGAGAGGAGCTGGACGCCTTCATCGACCAGCTCTACAAGGACATCGAGAAGGGTGAGGCTCCGACGTGGCCGTGGGCAGCGTCAAGCAGTGAGTGCCCTTTGCAGGAGGCTGCTGGAGACTTTTCCCAGCGTTCAGGGACCAGGCGAGGTTCCCACTGGGGACTGGGAGATCCCAATTCCCCTGGTCCACGTGAGCCATGCCTGGTGCCTTTGGCTCACTACGTGGATAGAGCAAGTTCAAGTTTGTGGGCAGCACAACCTGTGGCAGGTTGAGGTGGCTGGAGGGCTGATCTTGTGCAGAGAAATCCCATCTACACTAAATGTTCAAAGACCTGTTTATCACTTTTTTGACTGATGCAGCTGTGTGAGTGTACAGGGACAGGCCAGGGAGCCTGGGGGGTGCAGATCATGTCCTCCATCCCCTCCCAGCAGGGAGGGAAGGGTGCTTTGGAAATCACCCTCCAACACCTGGCCCCCAAAGCAGCTCTGGCTGGGTGCGTTCCGCGTTGATGGACATCCCTTCGTGCTCACGCTGAGCCGCACGTGTGGAAGAGCCAGAACGGCCCATGCGAAGCTCTAACCCCCTCTCTGTGCTGCAGAGTCAGGAGAGTTCCTCAACTGCGAGGGATCAGGTCTCTACGTGCTCCAGAGCTGCTGTAAGTAACACGAAGACTAAGAGAAAAACTAGTAGTGAGGAGGGGGATGTCCTGATCTAGATTGACTCACCTCTCCCTAAAAGCCTCTGGAGAAAGGACTTTGTGCCTCCCATCCATGGGATGGGATGGGATGGGATGGGATGGGATGGGATGGGATGGGAGTTGTCCTGAGGCCTGGCTGCTCTCTCAGGGTCTCCCAGCATCTCACAGCTACGAAGTGGTCAGTCCTGGCTTGAATGGCCTTAGATGTAATGCAGTCTCTGGGAGCCACGTATGCAGTTAGCAAAGAGACCATCTCCCACCTTGTCTGAGCAAAATGGAGCTGAAAAACCACGGGCTGTTGGGTCTCTGCCCCTGCCTCTGCCTTCCCCTTCCTCTGGAGGCACCCTCACGGCTGCGTCCTGTTTTCCCTGTAGGTAACCACAGCTGCATCCCCAATGCTGAGACATCCTTCCCAGAAAACAACTTCCTCCTACACCTGACGGCTCTGGAGGACATCGAAGCAGGAGAGGTGAGGCAGCAGGGCCCGTGTGAATCTGGGGTGGCATCTCACCTTTGCAGAGAGTCCCAGTGTCCCCCATATGCCCCACGGACCCCACCCCCATACCTCCTCTCTCTTGCATTGTCCTGGCAGAGAAATTCATGCCTCATCCCATGTAGGGGCTGCCAGACCTCGTATTTCTGCCTGATCCTGAGGGAGACTGATAGAAAATCATGCTGCTTTGAGTTTGTGGGAAGCAATTCTCAGCCCGACCTGTTCCCCTTTGCTCACAGGAAATCTGCATCAGTTATTTAGACTGCTGTCAGAGGGAGCGGAGCAGACACAGCCGCAACAAGATACTCAGGTAGGGGCTGCTTAGAGGAACTGGGGGAGGGGGGGACATGACACAGCACCCCCTCTGCCCCCCCAGCCAGTCAGTTTGGGCTGTGTCCCCACCTCGGGGCCCTGTGCGTGGTGTGGAGGTGCACAGGTTGGTGTGCAAGCTGGTGTGCTCATGGCGGGGTGTATATGAAGCATGTGGTGCTTTTTTTTTTTTTTTTTTTTTTTGGCCGTGCTGCCGTCAGACCCTGGGGGACTAGGCTGAGCGAGCCTGGAGCTCCCTACTCTCCACTCTGGTGGATTGTAGCCCCGAGGACCAAGGATTTGGGCCCCCCTTCTTCCACCACTCTGTAGCTGGCTCCTGCAAACCTTTGCTGTCCTCACCCACCTTCCTTTTCCTTCTCTGCCCTTCAAGGGTAGGGGATCCTGCTGATGGTCACCGTCCCCGTGTCGGGATTGAAATCCCCCTCTCTACCCAAACTACCTCCACCCCACCTGAAAGCATGATTGAAACTGTAAAATTCTCCAGGTTTAACGTATTTAGCCCCTTCCTGGCTGCTCTGTCCCCGACCCCCTGCACAACAACAGTGTTGATGTCCCTGTCTCTCTTCCTCCTCCTTCCTTCCTTTCTTCCAGGGAGAACTACTTGTTTACCTGCTCGTGTCCCAAGTGCCTAGCGCAAGCCGACGATGCCGACGTGACGTCGGACGAAGAGGAGGAAGGCGAAGGGGAGACGGATGACGCTGAGCTGGAGGATGAGATGACTGACGTTTGATCCTGGCCCCGGGGCGAGAGGAAGGGGGGCAGGGATGGGGAAGGGGGAGGGGGGTGGGATCCTCTGAGAGGCAGCAGCTTTAATACTTAGAAACAGGGTTGTGTTGTGGGGTCGGGAGGGAGGCCACGTGCCGGCGGAGGGTCTGGCGGAGAGGGGCAGCGGGGGAGCCGGAGGCAGGCCCTGCTCCTGCCTGTCCTTGTTGTGCGTGTGTGTGTGTGTGTGTGTGTATGTGTGAGGCTGTCCCCATCCTCCCTGTGAGGACAGACTCCGTCCCCAGAGGTGCTGGCTGGTGCTTGCAGGGGAGGCTGGAGGAGAGCAGGGGCCAGCCAGCCCTTGGGACATCACGAGGGTGGCTTCGTGGCCACCTCGGAGGCTGCTCCGCCCTGTCTGTGCCGGCCGTGGATGTGGAGGAGCGTGTCCTTTCCTACCCTGCAGGGATGAGGGGAACGCGTGTGCGTGTACGTGTGTTTGTGCACAAGGGGTATTATTTAATGTCTATATTAGCACTATCTACACACTAAGGAGCTGGGGTCCTTATATATACTCCATTCCATGCCTTGGCTTGGCGAGCAGCAAGGGGCAAAACGATTTTGCAGGTGGGACTGAGACACCTTACGCGTGTCTCAGATGCCCGAGGCCAGCGGGAAGAGCAGAGCCGACCCTGGCAGGCGCCTCCCTCCCGCCTCAGCCCCATCCTTTACACGATGCAAAGCCCCACGCAGCGACTGCCAGGCTTTTTGGGGGAGTGGGAAAGGCCAGGCTCTGGTGTTGCGTAAGCAAAGTCACCATCCAAAACCCCAAAGACGTTTCGGGCTTTGCAGAGAGCGAACCGTCCCGCCGGGCCTGTCTGACTGCGAGCTGCTTCGGGAGGACGATGCACCCAAGCAGGAGCCACCGTGCCCACGGACACAGCGTGGTGCTGGGTGCTTCCCCACACCGAGTGGCCCCCCGCCCCGTGGAGGTGTCACCAGCAGCCGATCTTTGTCACCCATCCCACGCTGCCAGCCACCGCTCTCTGCGACGTCCCCGCCTGCGGACCACGCGGCTGGAGGGAGAAGACTCCTCCAAGCAATGAACAGGCACCAGGTTGGGGATGCGCCCCGGGTATTTTCCTCCCCCTCTTGGATTTTGGGGAGCTGTTTTTCCTGCCGCCGCGTCCTTCGAGCCCGCAGCAGCTGGATTGTGGGACCGTGGGTGACGCTGTCACCTCTGACACTACCACCACCACCAGCCCTGCACCCTGCTGCTTGTCCCCAGCCATCCCGGGGCCATGTCCCCTTCAGTGTTCGTAATAAACCGAGACTGGTGACGCTGCTGTATCGTTTCTACTGGTAAACTGGAGGGGGGTGAGTGCAGAGATAAGGGCTGCGATCCAGGGGCTGGTCCTGATGGGGACATGGAGGACTGGGGGAACAGACGCCCACTGAGGTCTGGGCTCTGGCCCTGCCACCAGCCCGCCCTCGGGGACGGATGCTGGAGATCCCTTGAGGCTGCTGCTGCCCAGATGCGTGACAGATCTGCGCCACACAGAGCTCTGACATGAGCCCTGCTCCAGCTGCAGGAGCCACCTTGGGAAGTTGACTAGGAAAAACATCGCTAGGGGATGAGATTTGTCCTTTCATCCCCTAGCTGATGGGGGAAAAAAGAGAGACTTTCCTTTCTCTAAAACTTGTTCGGACTTCATTAGCTCAGACAAAAATATACAGATGTTGGGTGAGCCCTGCTAGTACAGACCAAGCCTGTAACTCTCTCCCTCCCATCCCTGTCAGACTGCATCCACGTAACCCTGAATCCCTCTAAATCAGCAGCGCGAATTACCGGTGGCATCTTACGCATCGTTAAAAATATTTTTCAGGGAAGTGCTGGCCTGCTCCGGGTCATCACCTCCCTCCCAGAAAGTCGCGACAAAGGGTGCCAGGCTCAAGGTTCCCACTGCGGGTGCTGGTGGTTGCACTTCAGCCACGCACTGGTGGCAGCTGGAAGATTTCCTCCTCGCTGGATCTGGCGTGGCTGGGCAGTGGGATCTCTGGAGCGTGTTGGGACCCTTTCCTCCGACCTGGTCCCTTGGGACAAGCTCCTGGGATCCACCGAGAAGTCCTCGATTGGCTGCAGCTTCCCGCTGCTACCAGAAGGTCCAGGGGGGCTGCATCATTTCGTAGGTGGGGATGCTGGTGACGTTGACTGGAATGGAGATGACAGCCCAGGGGAGCCCGTGCTGCTCCAGGGAGCGTCTGATCATGTACCTGGAATAAAAAAGAGCTGACAGGCGCATGTGAGCCACCCGAGGTGGGAGAGCGGAGCCCACACGTGAGCGTAAACCCCAAACCAACTCAAACGGAAACTTTGCGGATTAATTATGACCAAATCCACTAAAAATCTGGCTCGCCAAGCCCAGGTGCGACACACTGATCACTGGAACCTCCCTAATTTGAGGGGACAAGGCTGTCGCTTGGCCCTTCCCATGAGATGTTCCACACTTGGGCAGAGGTCTCCTGGCCAAGGCACTTACCCGTCCCTGCCCAGCAGGAAGAGCGCGGGGATGTCGGCTGTCCGCCGGGTGCTGTCCTGGATCATCTCGATGTAGAAGCTGTCGTTATCGTAAGCGTTATCTGCGATGATCACCGCCCGTCCCCCGTGCTCCTGGATCACGCGCGTCTTCGACAGGAACGAGCAACCCCTGGGGCAGAGAGTGACAAATCTTTGGTGGCCGTCGGCAGATCCTTGGCAGGTACAAAACCTTCAAGTGCCAGAGCTTGCCTGGAGATGCCCAAACCAGGGACTGTCTCTGTGGCCACGCGCCTCCCCCAAACCCTGCTCCTTTCTGAGTCTGTACTTTAGGCACAGGCTGCCCATACTTGGCCATTTTCTCCTAAGAAAAAAAATAGAAGCACAGACTGGTTTGGGCTGGAAGGGACCTTAAAGCCCCACCAGTGCCCCCCCCTGCCCCGGGCAGGGCCCCCTTCCCCCAGCCCAGGGGGCTCCCAGCCCCGTCCAACCTGGCCTTGAACCCTTCCAGGGAGGGGGCAGCCACAGCTACTCTGGGCACCCTGGGCCAGCGCCTCACCCCCCGCACAGGGAACAATTTCTGCCTTATATATAACCTAAACCTACTCTCTTTCAGCTTAAAACCGTCCCCCCTTGTCCTATCCCCACCCCCTGATCCAGAGTCCCTCCCCCCCATTCCTGTCCCCCCTTTAAGCCCTGGGAGGCCGCTCGAAGGGCTCCCCGGAGCCTTCTCTTCTCCAGGCTGAACCCCCCCAACTCTCTCAGCCCGGCCCCCCAGGGGAGCTGCTCCAGCCCCCCAGCATCTCCGTGGCCTCCTCTGGCCCCGCTCGAGCAGCTCCGTGTCCTTCTGCTGTTGGGGGCCCCCGAGCTGGCCCCAGCACTGCAGGGGGGTCTCCCCAGAGCGGAGCAGAGGGGGACAATCCCCTCCCTGGCCCTGCTGCCCCCCCTGCTCTGGCTGCAGCCCAGGGCACGGGTGGGTTCTGGGCTGTGAGCGCACGGTGCTGGTTCACGGGCAGTTTTCCCCCCACCAACCCCCCCAGTCCCTCTCCTCGGGGCTGCTCTCCAGCCACTCCTCGCCCAGCCTGGGTTTGTGCTGGGGATTGCCCTGACCCATGGGCAGGACCTTGCCCTTGGCCTTGTTGAACTTCTTGAGGTTTGCACGGTCCCACCTCTCCAGCCTGTCCAGGTCCCTCTGGATGGCATCCCTGCCCTCCCGCGTGTCACCCACCACACAGCTTGGTGTGATCAGCCAGCTCGCTGAGGGTGCACTCCATCGACTGTCCATGTCGCCAATAAAGATAAAATAAAATAGGGCTTTTTCCACCTTAGCGCAGGCTGTTTTCTAAGACACAACAGGAAAGGCTCTGGGGTAAGAGCACCCTCCCATTTTCCTCATATACCCACGTGGGGTAAGTCACAGGAAGAAGCTGGAGGTGATAGTACAGTGTGGCCATGGTGCTGTCACCCTCTGTGCCATGGGCACCTCCCCTCCCACGCGAGGGTCCCCCCCTGACGCCAGACGTACCCCCTCTCCACCAAGGCAATCTGGTCCTGGATGAAAACGCCATTATTCAGCTCTCCGCAGGCTTCGGGGGGATCTGCCGGGACCAGGTGGATCTGGTCGTACCTTGTGTTCTCCGAAAAGGAGACAGGCAGGGGTGAGCACGGGGGGAAGAATCGGGGCTGCTTCTCGCCCCCTGCCCCACCACGGCCATCTCTGCTGTCCCGTGCCCCACTTATCCCCATGTGGGGTGCACTTTTGGGGAGATTTTAGGGCTTCCAGCTTTAGGATGCTGGTTGGCCCATTCCAGCTTCTGCAGAGCCATCCTGACCTCACTCAACAGCGTGCCTAGATCTTGCTGTCAGTGCAGGGAGGAGAAACTGAGGCACGGCACCCTCCACCCATATAAGTGCTCCTGGAGAACATGTGCAGAGCCAGAAAGTGTCTTTTCCTCTGGCCCTTAATGCCCCATGTGCTTCCTAGCAGATCTGCTCCTGCACCCCCATCCTGACCCCGTTTTTTTTCAGGGAAAGGTCTGACATCCGCAGACCAGTTGGTTTCTCTCTGCTGTTCCCCCCCACGGGAGCCCGACCAGCCCTCCTGGGACGCGGCTGTGCCTGTCCCAGCCCTTGGAGGAGGAAAGAGCGGGGCACGTGCTTCCTAAACACACTTGGAGCTAAACTCCCCCTCTGAATGCCTGCTGAGGCTGAAGGCAAGGACCAGCGTGTGCCTCCTTCCTAAGGGAAGGCTCACAGAAGCACAGTTAGCTCTATTTTTATAAAAGGCTTCAAATCACTTTGCCCCGCAACAGAGAAATACTGGGATGGGGAGATCCAAACTGACAAATTCAGTTCTTAATACTTACAAACACGCCACCAAAATCCTTGGCTGGAGTGGCAGTGAAGATGTAGCGGATGTCTCCAGGGCTCAGCACTTGGAAATACAAGTATTCATGGATGCGTAAACCTGGGTGTGCATGGAGAGAGGCGAGAGGCAGAGAAAACAAAAGGGAAAATTCCTGAAAAAAGGGAAAATACCCAGCTACCGCTCCTGAACTGCAGCACGCTGAAAAGAACATACCATTTGGCAATGCCAGCTCCTGGCCGGGCCCCAGGGCTGAGGACCCAAAATGCCAGATTCAGTCTGGGGTGCACAAGGGGAAGGGGAAATGTGCTTGGACTGAGGCATCCTGAAAAATGCACCTGGGACAGGGTGCTGGGTGGGGAAATGCGATGAGGCCAGGGTGCATTGAGGGGAAATGCAGCTGTATTGGTGTGCTGGATGGGGAAACGTGATGGTGTTGGGGTGCATGGAGGGGAAATGCACCCGGACTGGCGTGCAGGAGGTCGAAATGTGCATGGACTGCAGTGCACAGAGGCAAAATGCACCCAGATTGTGGTGCAGGAGGTGAAATGCACCCAGAATGAGGAGCTGGATGGGGAAATGCAATTAGGTCAGGGTGCACGGATCGCGATGCACCAAGGGGAAATGCAGCTGGGTGGGGATGCAGGAGGGGAAATGTGATAGGACCAGGGTGCACAGAGGGGAAATGCAGCCAGACTGGGGTGCAGGAGGGGAAATGTGATAGGACCAGGGTGCACAGAGGGGCAATGCAGCCAGACTGGGGTGCAGGATGAGAAATGCACCCGGATGGTGGTGCATGGAAGCAAAATGCAACGGGGTTGGGGTGCACCAAGGGGAAACACACCCGGATCGGGATGCGTGGAGGGGAAATGCAGCTGTATTGGGGTGCACCGTGGGGAAACGCAAGAGGGCTGGGGTGCAAGAGGGGAAATGCGATAGGGCCAGGGTGCACAGAGGGGAAATGCACCCGGATTGGGGTGTAGGAGGGGAAAGGCAGCCGGATCGGGGTGCATGGAGGCGAAATGTACCTGGATCAGGGTGCGGGAGGGGAAATGCAACGGGGCTGGGGTGCGGGAGGGGAAATGCACCCGGATCGGGGTGCATGGAGGGGAAATGCAGCTGTATTGGGGTGCACCGCGGGGAAACGCGACGGGGCCGGGGTGCAGGAGGGGAAATGCACCAGGGCTTGGGGTGCGGGAGGGGAAATGCATCCCGATTGGGGTGCGGGAGAGGAAGGGCACCCGCATCGGGGTGCATGGAGGGGAAACGCACCCGGAACGGAGTACACCTAGGGGAAATGCAACGGGGCCGGGGTGCAGGAGAGGAAACGCACCCGGATTGGGGTGCGGGAGAGGAAATGCACCCTGATCGGAATGCAGGAGGGGAAATCCAGCTGTATTGGGGTGCACCGAGGCAAAATGCACCCGGATCGGGGTGCA